ATTGACCGCAGAAAACGGCTGGCATCCTTAATTCAGTGCCTCTGTAAAACAAACCAATATAAAATATTTAGAAACACTGTCATTGGTAAAATATTAAAATTACAAAGTTGAAGACAAGATGTAAGGAAGGAGAATGTTAATCATGCTAGGCGAGATCTGATATTTTATTCTAACCACATTATACATGTCACCATTTTCCTTTTCAGGATTATTGGGCAGCCTGAAATCCTGTCTTTGAGCCATCTTTTGTGTAACCCCTCCCCAAACTCTGTACGTGAAGTCAAAACTCATATTTAACATGCTAGCTAGCAATCTGACATACCACCCAAAATCATGTGGTACACACAGTACAGACGGCTCAGGAAGAATATGTTTCAGACTTAAGGCTGGCGCATGCTTCTGCGTCTGCGTCTTTACGCACCCTTGTGTCGACGCACTCGTTTCAATTCACACTGCATGAAGAGTGGGATTTTCGGCAGTATGCGGCACTGTAAATTGTCGTGGAATTTCAGGTTTACGGCAATTTGCGGGCAACGCCGAAAACTGCCGGAAATTGTCAGAAATTGATGTGGGCCTCTCTTGGCAGTTGTCCCCCCATGTCCCCCCTCCTCCTAATTCTAGGGGAGTCTTTGACATGTAAATGAAAATGCTGTGAGCTATACAAAGGCAAATCAGGGTCGCAGAGGGAGTTTTAGCCCAGGTGACATTTTTTTAAAAGGTAAGAAAATCTTTGGTACAAATAGATCAGGCTCAGTAGCCTAATTATAGACGCTTACCTTTTAGCTTGAATTGATTTATTTAATTCAAATATGCTAGATTACTGTGTACGCCATTAGCAATGGCAAATGTTATGTAAAAAAGATACACAAACTAACTTCTTTAAAAGATGAGTTTTAATCAAGGTAAAATGAGCATTCCATGCAAACAACATTTGAATCAGAATGAGGGATCTGCAGAGATCACAGTCTCCTAGAGCTCAACTACAGTGCATAGTGGCAGGACTACAGTGACCTTTTCTTTGGTCTTGCTTAAATGCACAGAGGATGTATTAACCACACATCTTCTAACAATGCGCTCAACTGGCAGAAATGATGCTGGGTACGACGTATCTGTTCCCTGCAAGCCCCAAACTTCTATTGGCTTTCCATAAAAACGTCTGTCCGGGTGGAGATGAAGCCAGGAAACTTGTGCAAGAACATGTTTAAATGCCGTACCCTTTGACACAACATTAACAACTATAAACTGCTTTATAATGGCTGGTCGTAGTTCTGCTAGAGGGTCAAGGACGGGTTCCTCAAAACTGTTAGTGTTCCCACACCACTTAGCATGAACACATGCTGACCTTTATGCTCTGCATCTATCGATTGAGTAAGTTACATTCATATATGTTACCCGTTTACATGTCATGGCAAAACATTCAACCTCAGTGACACAAGGGTACATGTGATGATACATTGTCAACATTGCATGTCTGTCAGACTCAAGAGTGTCTGGTGGAATGGAGAAAGAGGCACAACTGTACAGTTACAAGTCGTTCTGCTGACACCAAAACACTGCTTTACATAAAGCATATCAGCTGTTTCAAAGTCCCAACCATTTGTCTTCCTAAAATACTGGTCCTTCCGTATAACAATAACCTTGTATGTGATTGGAGGACCCTTAGACTCCTCGTCCAATCACGTGTGAGGTCATAGGCATGACTGATACAGCAGTACTTGCAAGACGAGCATACAGTGTGTTACTATATTCAGAAGAACTGTATCTCCAGTTCCTTTGTTTGGTTTTTGCTGCTTTGTGAATAATGGCTGGACGACGTCTCGCGTTCAACTCGCCTTCAACTCCTCTCTGCGGTCACCAACTTTCGGCCAGTCCGCAGACAGACAGAAGAAGCTGCTGAATGCTCTCAGTGGATCGTCTCGTCAACTCCAACAACAAACTGCCGATATCAACGAGCGGTTCGCTCCACTGGAGCGCTCGGGACTCTGCGGGTTTCTGTCCATGGAGGAGAGGAACCGACTCAAAGAAGAGGAGACGGGCGCACAATCCCAAGATAGAATACGTTCGATGACTGCTAGCTAAACTAAAAGTAGCGTAGCCTCAAGCTAAGCTAAGAGTAGCCTAGTAGCCTTACAAGTGAGCAGAAACTGCTTTATTAAAGTGTGTTTTCTTTGCCGTGTCGTTTACAGGAAGCGGTGCGCCGTCTTCACAACTCCGAGACGAACTACAGGCGCCACGAACCGGAGCAAGGGTCAGATTTACAGAATATGCTTTCATTCTGCGGTATAAGGGAATGTATACGTATAGATACCGATCATAACTGTACATTTTGTTTTCACAGACTAATCTCGCCTCATAATGAGGCGGTGACCTCGTATTTGCTCCGGGAAAAGTCCAGATTTAGGCAACGTCATTGTGTGTAAGTGACACTGTTTCTCCTTCCTTGTTAAATGTTACTGTGACTTGATTTTGATTTTTTTTGATTTTGTATTCATACCACACTCATTTAATTGTTTTCCAGCTCCCTGTGAGACGTATTGTGAGACGGGACGCAGGAGGTTCAGGTTCAGCCGGAACACTCATTGCGGGCGGAAACTGAAGGATTCAGCGCGGAGTCGAGCGAGAAGAAAGAGGGTCAGAGTTTATTTGCTGACTTGTTTCAGGTGCATTGACCTGCATTTCAGGTGCATTGACACAACACATCGGTGTTGTGTCCGTACGCATCGCACAGTACTGATTCATTGTTGTTTTTACAGCTGCTGGAATCGAGACAAAGTGTGCTGGCTGATGACGAGGTGGAACTCTGGAATTCCGCCACCGTAGAGCTCACGTCGGACGGAGGGGACGGCGTTGTTGGCGGGGTCTCGGGGTGGATTGTACGGTCGCCACACACACACGAGCCGCCTGCACAACAGACCTGCCTCGGAAAACACGGCGCCAGTGACGGTCTACAACCCCGAGGAGGCAAACGGACAGTTTACTGAGCTGTAGTTTTTTAAACCGCCTTTACCCAAGTGTGGGCAGATCCTCACTTTGTGTGTAGTTGTTGTTTGTGTGTTGTTAATAAAGCTCTTTCTTTGCATAAACATGTGGCAAATGTTCATTTTCTCTATAAATTCATTGATGTCCTGGTTGGTATCCTAATAACAGTGTAGTAGCCTGCATATGATAACAATGAAATGAATATACAGCATAATATGAATACATAAATATATATAAATAAAATGAGGCGGGTGACCAATAGCGACAGATCTGCCAACCAATCACGAGTGATTGAAAGTTGTGGTTTCATCCAATCATGAACAAGGAAACTCAAGCCTGGTCTGCCCACGTGTGGTTTTGCTGCCAATCACGAGTGATTTTATTTGATAGTAAGTTGTGGTTTCATCCAATAAGGAGTAAGGATATTCAAGCCCGCTCGGCTCGGCCACCCGCGGTCTCGCTGCATTCATATGCTAATTCGGGCCATTCGCACCTCCGCCAGCTCTCCCCCTATGTCATGGTTCGTTTCCGACAATTTGTGGCACAGACAAACGCGATGTGCGCGGGTTGCAAATTGTCGGAAATTGTCGGAAATTAGGGAGATTTCCGGGCGTTTACGGGGACGAAAATCTCACTTTTCATGCAGTGTCATGGTTCTAAAAGTCTTGCGTATGTTGCAGAGCAATTCTCCGCGAGAACAACAGGTGAAGCAACAGTCACGTCTTTGTGTGTGGAAGTTGTTGGTTTGTTTATTTATTTATCATAGACTTTATTGCCCCGTGCATCGCCACTGTTGCTTTTCATCGCGGACACATTTGTCCCGTATTTTCCTCCACAACTTTGTGCACTTCTCGACCGGCAAATCGACGTTTGCTCCATGAAGCAGAGGCCATCCGCGCGTTCTTATAGTCGGCTATAGACGGGTTGTATACGTGGTCATATTTACGCATTTCTTCCAACAAAAGCTCTTCAATCTAATCCATTCTCTCGTAAACATTCTTCGTTTTAATAATGGTGGTATGGTGGTGATAATGGTACATTGACAGGTTGACAACCTAGTATTATACTATTTTGCAGATGTTGGTGGATGTAGATTTTGTCTCTCTCACTATAATAATGATTTTCATTTGGTGTGATGTATGCATCTGACGTGATAAGCACTATGTTAATGAGATAACAGGTTTGGGTAAAATTTGATAGAACTTATTTTGACCATGGAAATTCATTCTTGGCAACTGTAATTTAACAATGATCTTCACTCTGTGACAGTTTGGGTTCATGTCTGGTTTTATTTTGTAGTTTCTTGCCTCTGTTCTCCCTGTTTTGTAGTTTCTTGCCTCTGTTCTCACTGTTCATCTCAAGCCATGTGTGTCTGTTGTCACTGGTCGCGTCATTGTTACTTGTTGGAAGTCCTAGTCCCTGTCCATGTGCCTGTTCCCGTTCCTGCTTCCTGCTTCATGCCTACGTTTTTGCCTTTTGATTTTGAAAACCTTTTTTTGACTATTAAAGTCCCCTTTTGTTGTTGTAAAAAAACTGCGTTTGAGTCCTGCCTTTTTCCCCACACAACTTCTGACACATTCACTTTTTTCCCACCTTTTTTGGTGCTTCCAAGGGATGGAATTTTCACGGAGATGACTTAGGTTGAATCTTGATTTAAGTTCATTTTGTGAAATTAATACATTCACTATTTAAAGAAAACAAACAAATGAATATTAAAAATAAGATATGTACTAAATGTGTGTTAAAATGTAAATACAACAATGTTTGATTTTGAATATATAATAAAAGCTTTATATAATTATAATAATTTGAATTTCAGCAAGGCTCAAACATTTAATTACCACCAAATCAACCAAAATTAAAGTGGGATGCTTTACTCTATATGTATGTCTTACTTCATATTCACTGGGGGTAAATACATGTAAAAGGATATATATACCGTAATACATTGACGGGTTAAGTCGTTCCGAGCCAGGTTTAAGCAGGCTGCGTCTCCCCCCTCAGACGCCCCGTTTTAGTCTCTCGGTGTCAGCTGTGTGGAATGTGACCCTCCCCCGCTACCCCTGAGGGTCCCGGGTGCAGCCACCAGCTGTTTCTCCCATGTTTCCCTGACATCTTTCCTCCTGCTCTGCTGTTGGATCGGTAAGTCAGCGTAAATTTCCCTCTCGCTACTTTGACGCGCAGTTATTCACTTGCAGGTATGAGAAAGTCCTTTGTCTTTATTCCCATCAATCGATTTTTTAACCAAATTCCCCCAGTGATCAGAAACAGCTCAACGGCACAATACGGCTACACTTTAAGGAAACATTTTCTAAACAGAATGTGACTATTACTCCATGAGTATGTGTACACTAATCTTTGACTAGAACAGATGAATAATATGACCGAGTTTTCCTATTCAAGCCATTGTCGAATTATAGGGGTTATGACATCGCGACATTGCAGTTCGGTAAAGTTGGTAAGATATTCACAGATTCAGACTTCCCGGTTTAACAACTCCAAAAAAACGTAATTTTACCACAACGAACCGCTTTGCGAGCTTGACGAATCATCTTGGTCTTAATGTGCGCAGGGAACGCCCGGAAGTACAATGCGGAAAATCACACGGATATTGCACGACCAAAGTTATGTAGTACACGAGTGGAATTTTTATTCTTGTACTGTTCTTTTCTTTAATCATTAATTTGAACATTTATTGCAAATAATATTCAACAACGTTACTGTTACGAATTCTAACATCACCAAATTCAACCCTACGTTCATTGACGTTAATTCATTGTTAATAATAATTATTAATAATAATAATTCTGAATATTCTAGTATAATTAATCAATAACCTACGATTCGTTCATGGGTTTGTTCTGGTTGTACTAAACCTGTTATTTATTAAAAATACTTTGGATTACTTATTCATAATAAACTAGAATATTTATTGCAATCAGTATTCAATAACTTCACCGTTATGAATTCACCAAAATACATCATTGGGCTTGTTCCTGTTAGTTTTTTGATTAAGTTAGCTCTTTCATAATTTTGAATAACTTCAAATACAGTGTAGTGAAATTAGTTTTCGACCACCAGGATCCCTGTGTCGGTAAAGCTACAATACTTGGTTAGGAAAATCTCTTTTAATGAATTTATTTTTTAGGACAGTGAAGTGCCGCCAATGTATTGGTAGTCACCAGCATATTATTATGCAAAACCACCGTGTTTTGAAGATAGAATTACTCCAAATTGAGCAAACTATCTAAATGTATTTAGCATAGAAGCAATATAAACAGTGTACTATTTGCTTTTGAGAAACCTGAATGTTGGTTAAGGGGCACTTTCATGAATTAATATACGCACCCAAAAACACAATACAGTATAGTAACTAAATGCTTCTTCTGAGAAAACATCTAACCCTGTCGCCATCAGTTTGGTATCATCAGTTATTTGGTCAAACTAGTGCAATTGTAAACCTATGTACTTTTGTATTTGTCTTCACTAAACATATTGTATCACATATATTATGATAAGAGCCATCTTAAGTGGTTCACTCATTTCATTTCATTTCAAGAAAGACCAATTTAAACACATAGAGGACCACAAGTGCTTTCAAACAGCCAGATGTCAAGCTGAAATCACAAAATTTAATGGCGCTACACTGCATTCAAATTAAGTTATTTAGAATTATGCAAAAGAAAATTTGATCAACTTGATTTAGTACAATACATAACAATAATAAAGAGTTGTAAATTGCAACTGTGTGCTTTATATATTACCATAATACCTTTTTGAGGTTTGAAACCTACAACCCTAACCCTAAGTGAGGAAAAATAATGGAAGATCATAAACAATAAGGATATGCAATTTTCTATCAACCACCTTTTCTAACAGGATAACAATGAAGTATGAAAAATAAGCTCAATAAGTAATTCAAGTAGCATGTTACCATTAACGTTTGGAACCAGTCATCAGCCACATTTTCTCTCATGTTTCCCTTGTTTTCAAGGAAAGACTGCTGTAAGATGTCTTCTACTCCAGAGCTGCAACCCTTCCTCTTCACCACGCTGCCCTACTTTCAGCCAGCCACTTCATCAGTCCCGGCTTTGGCACTCAATAGCACCTCTTGCGAGGAGGGGGAGCAGACCCACCACCTCCTTTTCCATCTGGCGAGCCTGTCCTTGCTATTGGGTCTCGTCATCCCCACCACCCTTGCCCTGCACATGATCCTGTTGCGCCTCCTCTTGATGACAGGTATCCACAGTGCCACCTTTTCATGGCATTTATGCATTGTTAGCTTGGACAAGTACAAGTACAAAATGTACCACAGACTCTATTCACAAGTTCCCAAAGTTTTGGTAAATCATTAAAGCAAGCTTGTTGGGGATTAGTTTCAGTTAACATTTGTAAGACTGACATTGTTTTTCAAAAGCTGTCCTAAACACACAGGGATCTCTTCAACACAGCTAATGCCCTAAAAGGCTCTGACACGGCAGATAAAGTAAGGAGAGAATGGCGAATGGAAAAAGCCCTGACATGTTTATCTTATGCTTGGAACGAGAGTGGAAACAGGAAGCAGCCAGATTTATGGGATAACTTAGCATCTAAAATATTTGTATTGGCCTTTGGCAAAATCTATTCTCAGCATGTCTTACAGAAACAGATAGAGGACAGGGTAAGTGATTCTTGTAGTATCTTCTTGGGAGGTAACTTTAAAATAATCTTGGGATGTTCATAATCAAAGAATGGGTAATAACAGTATTAAGAATCATACGAAATTGAGGTAAATAAAAAAATCAGTTTATATGATACATAAATGAATGGTATAAGCTCTAATTAAATAACTTATAGATCAAGTATGTTCAATTTTTAAGGATAAAAATGATGAAAAGGACATACATTTTGTTCGATGGAGTCTTTTCATGCATTCCATTTTGTTAATTAAAAATGGAGTTTCCTTTTAATGTTTTATTTTAGTCTATGTATTTCTATGTCATTGCTCCGTGTTGACTTAATCTTAAACTAAAACCTCAATAACAAAAACAATTAAATTTAAGCAAGCAAGTAATCCACTGCACAATAAATAAGCCTCAGTAGTTACACATATCTTAAGTAATGGATATTTAGAAACTTTGAATTTAGACTTTAAACTTTAAATTTGTAAAAATACATGTTTTAATTGTTCTTCTGTCTCTTTAACCCTGTCAGGATGTACTCTCTTCATTGTGTGGGCGGCACTGTACAGGTGCAACCTGGATGTGATGGTTTGGAATGTGGTGTTTCTGGTGGTCAACTTCATGCACCTGTTCTTCCTCCTGTACAAGCGAAGACCGGTTAGTTTTTCAGTATACTCTTACCCATACCCCCAGTCGCTTTATATTCAGGCAATGTTCTCCAACACAATCTCAGACAATCGTGTCAAACCCCCGATGCTCTGCTTGAAGGTCAACCTGACTCAACCCAGGACACACAGACCAAAGAGCTTTTTGAGCTGTCCTGTTTTACTATAAATAAAACATTGCATGGAATATAAATACGCAATCAACTTAAATCAATCTTAGAAACTCCTGTTACGTTACTTTTTTGGGGGGTAGTATTTGGATTTTAATTCAATTCCATTTCAAAACACTATTCACAGGCGTTGTGTGTCATTTGCATGTACAGTCTAAAAAGTATAAGATACTGGTCTGAGATGAAGTGTTGTAGCATGCACAATATTTACCTCTAAAATGTGTAGTGGAATGCACACTCTTTACCTCTGGGATGTAATTGAATTAAAAGTACAGTTCGGTGGTGGATTGCAAAACATGTTCACACCTGGCTATCCACCTAGCTACTATGTAGGGAGCAGTATTTGCCCAATGCCAAGACAACGATGTTAGTTAATTTGCATGTATGTGCTTTGCCTGAAAGATTTAACATCAATGTTCAAAGTTGCTAAATTGAGATGCAGAATTACAAAGTTTGAATATAAAAATACACATTGATATTAAACAAATATGATTTACCATGGACGTAAACCTTTACATAATGAGCTAGATATTTGATTAAGATAATTGTTATTTTACATACATTTGTATGTAATTTAAGAAAGACCTAAAATACTGTATAAGTAATAATCATTTGTCTTTTAGAAAAAGATTTTAAAAATGTAATGTTGTCTTTGTTTGCATAATACCCAAATTAACAGCTGGATAATGACTGGATGAATTTAGAAAAAAACATTGTAGTTATGAACGAGTGTATAACCATAATTTGGTGATTCTCGATATGTATTTTTCATTATTTGCCACACAACCCCTAAAGATTGCAATTAAAAGGCATTTATATGATTCGTTATGAATCACAGTTTTTGACAACTTTTTCTGCCCGTAATCCTCCATAGCATTTAAAGAGAGAGGATTGGTCACGTGTCAATTCATTGTGTTTAAGTCCAATGCCCTGAAATATTTGCTATCCTGACGACACACTCTGCACGGCAGGTATTTGCAAGAAAAGTAGTGGGTTTTATAATATTATAACTATAGCCCATTACAATATTTGTTAGTAAGTCCTTTGCCTGACTGTTTCCTTGGAGCCATGTCAATAAATCCTCACCAATCCAGACAAGGGTTCCGAGAGGTCTCCTATCTTCGACAATTGCTAAAGATTATTTTCTATTTTACATATTCCTTAGAAGATGCATTAAGGCTGTGACTGTGTTCTGCTAGATTAAAATCGACAGGGAGTTGCAGTCTGTCTACAAGCGGATGTTTGAGCCGCTCCATGTGCAGGAGGCTCTTTTTCAGAGGCTCACAGGGCAGTTCTGCACCATACAGACTCTAAAGAAGGGCCAGGTTTATGCTGCCGAGGAGAAAACATCTGTGGACGAACGTCTCAGCATTCTCATCAAAGGAAAGTACGTGCTGTTCGTAGACCCTGATTAGATTAGACATGTCCAAGCATACTCACACCTATATGACATTACATTCATCACACCAAGAATTTTCAAGATAAACCTTTTGGTTTAATAAACATACCAGTTTTAAAGCAATGTAATTTTGAGCAGAGTGTCATGGTTTGGGTTCATGTCTGGTTTTATTTTGTAGTTTCTTGCCTCTGTTCTCCCTGGGTCACGCCACTTCCTGCCTTGTCCTGTCTTCCCCTGTGATTGTCTGTCATGTCATGATTGTTTCCAGCTGTTTCTAATCACCTGCACCTCCCTAGTGTATTTAAGCCATGTGTGTCTGTTGTCACTTGTCACGTCATTGTTTGTCATAGTTCCTGTTTCCCGACTACGTTTTCCGTTTTGGAATTTTGAGTTTGGAATTTTTTGACCATTAAAGTCCCTTTTTGTTTTCGAAAAACTCTGCGTTTGAGTCCTACCTTTATCCTCAGCACCTTCTTGAAACAGAGGCCTAAAAAGCGCCTAGTGCTAAAAAGGTTCAAGATATCACTGGATTCAGCGCGATCTCAGCTAACGATTTGCTGTGTTGTTTTCTGGACTAATTCGCATAATATATTTTCTAACTCGTGTAATACTAATTATATTTGTGTTTGGAGCCTTTTCACACAGATTAATTCGTGTTGAAGCCAAGACTCTAAAGCTTCGAAGGATGTGAAGCATTCACATATTTGTTGATGTGATGAGGTGATGAGTTCACAATATTCCTGTTAGAAGTTGGAGTTTGTTGGATTTTGCTCCAGTTTGGCCTCCTATATGGGGTAACTTGGGATGAACAGGTAGCAAATATACCTAGTTACATTCCACCACTGATCATAACATTTACACCTAACATACGTAAAACCATGCAATTGAGTGCTTTTTATCAAAAGATGTACTACTACTGAGAAGGACTGAGTTCAGTTTATTGGTCCAGGCCTGCATATCAGTCCTTGTTTTTCCCCCTACAAATATAAAAAACAATAGTTTGTCATAGCTTACAATGTTTCCCTCATCCCTTAACAGAGCGACTGACATCACAGGTCCTTTAAATAAAGCTGTTGATGCCTTAATCAACGTTAATGGTGAACTTGTGACTTTTATTAACTATTAGCCTTTGGAACTTCTTTTGAAATCTCTGAAAGTGAATTTTGAACAATGTGATTAATTTTTTAAATGATCGTTTCTTGACAGGTAAAAATGGAACCTGAGATAAGTTTGGAGGTCAATTTGGAAACTTAATTGATTTTAAAAATAAAAGAAATGTGAGTAGGCAGGCTAAATGGTCATCAAGATAGCCTTTTTTGGGTTCACCCGTCAACTTAAGAAAATTAAGGCTAAAAATCACCTAAAGACATTTTCGTTAAAAAAATGAATCAGTTTTGAGTTATAACTTTTTCTTTTTGACAGGATGAAGGTATTGTATCGAGGTCATTTTCTTCACAACATCTATACCAATTCCTTCATTGACTCGCCAGAGTTCAGGTCCACTGAAATGCACAGAGGAGAGAAGTTTCAGGTAATTTGAATTTCCTCACTAAATTGCCTCACATGGCATGTCTTGTTATCTCTATGTACAGTGCATCCGGAAAGTATTCACAGCGCTTTACTTTTTCCACATTTTGTTATGTTACAGCCTTATTCCAAAATGGATTAAATGCATTATTTTCCTCAACATTCTATACACAACAACCCATAATGACAAAGTGAAAACTATTTTTTGCAAATTTTTGCAAATCTGTTAAAAATAAAGAACGAAAACATAACACATCCAACCTGATGGAACTGGTATTCTGGTAGCCTTTGCCATGACACTCAAAATTTAGCTCAGGTGCATCCTGTTTCCACTGATCATCCTGTTTCCACTGATCATCCTTGAGAGTCTACAACTTGATTGGAGTCTACCTGTGCTAAATTCAGTTGATTGGACATGATTGAGAAAGGCACACACCTGTCTATATAAGGTATCACAGTTGACAGTGAATATCAGAGCATAAACCAAGCCATGAGGTCCAAGGAGTTATCTGTAGACCTCAGAGACAGAATTGTATCGAGGCACAGATCTGGCGAAGGGTAAAGAAAGATTTCTGCAGCATTGAAAGTCCCAATGAGCACAGTGGCCTCCATCATCCGGAAATGGAAGAAGTTTGGAACCACCAGGACTCTTCCTAGAGTTGGCCGCCCAGCCAGACTGAGCGATCGGGGGAGAAGGGCCTTAGTTAGAGAGGTGACCAGGAACCCGATTAACAGGAAAAAAGAGAGCGGGAAAAAAGGGAAGAAACCTTAGGGAGAACGTCAGAGGAGGGATCCCACTCCCGGGATGGACAGACTACAATGGATGCCATGTGTACAGAATGAACAATGTATAATACATGCAATTCCTATGACAGAAATGATTCAAGTGGGGAGGGAGAGCACAGAGACTTTAGGAGTGGGTAATGTCGGTTTATGAGTACAGTAATATGATTAATATCTAAAATAATGATGATGATGATGATGGCCGCAGCAGGCGTCAGCATGGCCACGGTAGGTGTCAGGACCAGGGTCCCGAAGGAACCACGATCTACGGAGACCTGATAGGGGAGAAAGCACAAAAAAAACCTCCCGGAAAGAAGCTGAATTAGTCATGTGCATTAATAAAACTTGAATTATGGTAGAACGAGAGCAGGAGAGAGGAGCTCGGTGTGTCCTAAGAATTCCCCCGGCATTCTAAGCCTATAGCAGCTTAACTAAGGGCTGGTCCGGACTAACCTGAGCCAGCCCTAACTATAGGCAGAATCAAAGAGGAACGTTTTAAGTTTTACTTTAAAAGAGCTGACCGAATCTGCCCCCCGGACTGAAAGTGGAACCTGGTTCCACAAAAGAGGAGCTTGATAACTGAAGGCTCTGGCCCCCAGCCTACTTTTTAAAACCATAGGAACAACAAGTAACCCAGCATCTATGGAGCGCAGTTGCCTTGTAGGGCAATACGGTGTTACAAGCTCTTGAAGATACAACGGTGCCTCACCAGCAAGTGCCTTTTAGGTGAGGAGAAGTACCTTAAAATCTATTCTTGATTTAACAGGGAGCCAGTGCAGACAGGTAACACTCCACTCCACAGATCAGGCCTGTTTGGTAGAGTGGCCAGACAGAAGCCACTCCTCAGTAAAAAGCACATGACAGCCCACCTGGAGTTTGCAAAACCGCACCTGAAGGACTCTCAGACCATGAGAAACAAAATTCTCTGGTCTGATGAAACAACGATTGAACTCTTTGGCCTGAATGCCAAGCGTCATGTCTGGAGGTAACCAGGCACTGCTCATCACCTGGCCAATACCATCCCTACAGTGAAGCATGGTGGTGGCAGCATCATGCTGTGGGGATGTTTTTCAGCGGGAGGAACTGGGAGCCTAGTCAGGATTGAGGGAAAGATGAATGCAGCAATGTACAGAGACTTCCTCGATGAAAACATGCTCCAAAGCGCTCTGGACCTCAGGTTAATCTTCCAACAGGACAACGACCTGAAGCACACAGCCAAGATAACAATGGAGTGGCTTCGGGACAACTCTGTGAATGTCCTTGAGTGGCCCAGCCAGAGCCCTGACTTGAACCCAATTGAACATCTCTGGAGAGTTCTGAAAATGGCTGTGCACCGACGCTCCCCATCCAACCTGATGGAACTTGAGAGGTTCTGCAAAGAAGAATGGGAGAAACTGCCGAGAAATAGGTGTGCCACGCTTGTGGAATCATACCCAAGAAGACTTGAGGCTGTAATTGCTGCCAAAGGTGCTTCAACAAAGTATTGAGCAAACGCTGTGAATACGGATGAACATGTTATTGGTTCGTTCTTTATTTTTAACAGATTTGCAAAAAACAGTTTTCACTTTGTTGTCATGGGTTGTTGTGTGTAGAATGTTGAGGAAAATTAATGAATTTAATCAATTTTGGAATAAGGTTGTAACATAAGAAAATGTGGAAAAAGTGAAGCACTGTGAATACTTTACTACTACTGTAGCCTTAATGAATAAATAGGTCAGAGCTAGGCGTGTTAACAGACCATTGTCATTGTCCGGGACAAGTCTGGGACAAACGGAAGATCCAATCAACAGCCATCATAGGTCATTAATTAGTATCGCCAGCAAAAAAAAGTGATCGGGGATCTGTAAAATATTATATTTGCTCCCTTTTTTTAAACACGATTTGTGATATGATGCATAAGTCTGATCTGTGAACTGTTCCAATCCTTGAGTTTTATGAATCTCTTGTTGGTTTAGTCAGAGTTTAAACCAACATTGTGTTTTCTGCTTAATGATGTGTTTGACAGGTGACCATCATGGCCGAGGAGAACTGTAAATTCCTTTGTTGGTCTCGAGAGAGGCTCACCTACTTCCTGGAGTCCGATACTTTCCTAAATGAGGTGTTCAGATACCTCATCGGCAAAGACATTACCAACAAACTGTACTCTCTAAATGATCCCACACTCAGTGACAAGGTGGGGTTCAGGTCCATTATGCTGTTGATGTGTTACTGTTAGAGTTTGCCACTAAAAGATTGCTGATTTTACGGATGGGGGTGGATGTGTTCCAGGCTGTGAAGAAAATGGACCGTCAGCCAAGCCTATGCTCTCAGTTGTCTATGACGCAAATGAGGAACAGCATGGCGAGCAACAGCGACACTGATGATGTCCTTAACCAGATCCTACGAGGAGGTTCTGCTGGATCATCACTGCGTAAGTCACGTTGTGACCCCACAATATGTTCACGTGTGTCTTCAGGTTTTAAGCATGAGTGAAAACGTGAGTAATCAATTGGCTGATTTCCTAATATGTAACCTCTAATTTGAAATAATCTGTTATATCACAGTAGTACATGCACATTCCAAATATTCAATATATTTTGATTTTTTTAGTTGGTGTACCATTAATGTGATCTATTACTGCAAAGTGAGACCTGGCATAGCCAATGGGATTGTATAATCGGATGTTCAATTTATATACCCAAGGTACACCAAAATAAACATTCTACCCACCTCTGTCTGGCATAATGAAACATAATACGGCTCATATTTCTCATGCTTTGGCGCTGTTAATGGAAAAGAGCTGTATCCCAAGTTAGATGAATTAGTTTGCTTTTGAAACCAATAGTTTCAAATGTATGTGTCTCTTGACTGTCAGGTGACTAACAGTGGAAAACTCCCTTTGAAAATGGGAGGAAACCTTTTGCTTTTGTGAAAAAGTTTATTTCCAGGTACCATAATTGCTCTTGTCTGAACATATGACTTATTTTTCAATTTATGGATTGAGTATGTCGTAATTTATGTTATTCATTCTTTACACACACCCTTAACACTTCTGGCCACCCTTGGAGAGAGAATTGTTGCTCTCCAGTATTCCTCCTTTTTTAACATACTTTGAATATAAATTCCTTCTACTTTGGTGAGCCCAAAATCCCCAATTTTCCTCAGGACATTGCAATCTGTACAAATGCAACATCCCGTGGGTCCCTATCATTAAAACATGAAAAGCTCACCCCAAAATAAACGGGAGAAAAAAAGGAAGAAATCTTAGGGAGAGCGGCAGAGAAAGATCCCTCTACCATGATGGCAATAGATGATAGACGTAGAAGATTTGCAATGTTAGATACAGATAATCAGTGGAGCTTTTATTTTGAAATAGTGGGATTGGATGGGGGAGAGAGGGGTTACGAGACTAGAGAGAATGTTTGGCCTTCAAACTAAGAGGTTATCAAATGATAGGCCTCACTAACATTACAGTGAGAATTCCCTCGATGGGGCTTGTATTTAGAAATTATGGGATTGGGTGGAGGACAGAGGGGGAGAGAGGGAGTGAGGAGACAGAACAAATGTGTTCATACACAGAGGTTATTAAATGATGGGTCTCATCACAACCATTCATGTTTGAATTTCCTCCAAGAAGCTTTTATTAACATTCAATTAATAATCTATATCAAATAATAATCTCCCAGCTATTCTGAGAGAGAGTAAATTATTTTAAATTCAATAAAAATGCAATGGTCCAAATCTGCCCGGGAATGCAAGTGTATCTCTCTCTCTCACCCTCTTTCTAGTTGACTTGAGGAATAAATTTCAGGATATTATGACAAACCTTATCTGCCTGTCAATTGCTGCCTTTCTTTTATTACATTGGACAGTGCTGCTATGGCAAAAGCACCCCCACAAACAGCGTTATCCATGGACCTGACCTGCAAAGCCTTATAATCATCACATATTGGCAGAGTTGCACTTCAACAAAACTTGCAATAGCTTGCTGGTAGTTGACAAATGATGATTGAAATCATTTATTTAAGTCAATGCATTCTTTTTTCAGTCATTTGTGTTGTCATCTATGAAACTACAGAAATTTGGGGCCATTAAATGAAATGTTTTACCAGTCCTTCTTCAAAATCAGAATCAGAAGCTGATTATTACCACATATCTTATACATAGAGGAATTTCTTCTGGTGTTTGGTGCAGTTTTACGAGACAAATAGAATACAAATAAAAAAGCAAAAAAAAGTACGTTAAAGCAAATTATATGTTGGACTACTGGGTAAAAGTCCTGGGGATGGATTCTTTTCTTCTTTTTCTCACTTGGCACCAGTTCGTCAAGCTCCTGAAGTGACACCACCCTCGTTGGCCTCATCTTTGGTGGAGACGACTCCGCCTAAGGGTGAAGATTGACCAACTGGCTCGACGCTCTAAACCAGGGGTGCCCAATAGGTTGATCACGATCGACCAGTTGATCACGATCGACCAGTCGATCTCGAAGGCAGTATCAGTCGATTGCGTGCCATCAAAAAAAATAAATCACGTCACGCATGCGTCTACTGTGGGAGATGACCGAAACAAATGCTAATACTAATTAGCGATCCTTGCTTACTAATGAACGCATTTAATTTCATTCCAAAGCAACCCACGCTGACTCCAGTAAGGTAATGACCTTGAATGAGCGGGATGCTTGTGACGGTTTCCTCCTGACAGATGAGAGGCTCGTTGTTTTCTTCATATCGACTCATTTTGCGCTGACAGCAGTGCCGCTGTTGTTTGGGATCTCTTCACCCCCACCCCGGTCCTCGGAGGGGAGGGGGGGTAGATCGCCATGACTTGGTTAGTTGTTAGTTGAAAAGTAGCTTGCGAGCCTGAAAAGTGTGGGCACCCTTGCTCTAAGCACATTGGAGATGGTTGTGGATTTCTAAAGAATTGCAGCACCCACCTTCCCCAATCACCCTGGGTGACTTCTGTTGTGGAGTCCTTCCGCCTCCTGGGCTCCATCATTATCCAGCAACTCAAGTGGGAGCTGAACACCAGCTCCATCACCAGGAAGGCTCAGCAGAGGATGTCCTTCCTGAGACAGCTGAAGAAATTCAACCTGCCAAAGACAAAGCTGGTGCTCTCCTACACGGCCATCATTCTGTCCATCCTCTCCTCCTCCATCACCGTCCACTGCCAAGGACATGGACAGGCTGCAGAGTGTCATCCACTCTGCAGAGAGGGTGATCGGCTGCAATCTGCCGTCCGTCAAAGGACGGCAGACGGCTTGTTTTCCTCCAGGACTCTGAGGCGGGTAAAAAAGATTGTAGCCTGACCCCTCTCATCCGGACACAGACTTTTTGAGCTACTTTCCTCGGACAGGAGGCTGTGGGCCTTTAGGACCAAGACCTTACGCCACAGAAACAGTTTCTTTCCCTCATCAGCTGGTCTCATAAACCGAGTACCCCACTGACCCAGACATTACATCCCCAGGACATTTCCACAGTGGTTTCTTACCATGGAAATACATGTGCATACATGTGTGTTTTAATGTACGTATGATTTATTTATATTGTTCACTGTTGCGTGTATATTCTTATTTTACTAACTTATTTTTTAAATTTTATCAATATATTTTATTCTTGTATCGCACAAATCCCGAGACTTTTTTCGGTATGTGTAACATACGTGGCAATAAATGGCTTCTGATTCTGATCCTCAAAAAACGAAAATTCTAGTTTGAATACATAATCAATATGTGCATGTAACATAAAGCTCTCCTGTCGTATACTGCTCTGAGCAGGATGCATCCCAACCCATTGTATGAAATAAATACGAGGTGTCAAATTAAGCCAAACGATTTTAGACCAGCATCAGGCATTACACAGCCATTACTCCTGGCAAGGTTTTTAGAAATAAACAAACGCAATGCAAGAAAAACAAAAAATGCAATAATTTGTCGATAACAAATAAACATTCCTTTCCTTCATAACCAGCATCTTCTCTTGCACGTAAAGCTCTGCACGCTAGTCAACATAGCTGCTGTAACCAAATGAGAAGTTTTTCTATTTTATTTCAGAGGACATTTTTCATATGAGCAAAATGAAATTATAAAAATGTACTGGTCATGTGAAATTTATTTAGTTCATATATTCCAACTTAAATTTTATTTTTTTTCTAGAAAAATCTCCAGGAACCAAGGCCTCCTCAAAGATGAAACCCATAGAAGAAGGCATGGAAGATGATGTTTTTGAAGACACTCCTTCAAAGTCTCGCCATATGCCAAGTACTTCTACTGAGGAAGTGTAGCGAGGAGGGGAAGAATCGTATGCACTTGTTTAGCAACAACTAGAATGAAATATATACTTGAAATGCCAGCGTGGTAATCCATGCGTTTAAGCAAATGCATATCCATCTCCTATCAACTAAGGCCAGTTGAGGAATATCAGAAATATGTTTTGTGGTTATTGGAAAACAACACATAGTTTGTCCAACAGAGAGCAGTCGAAAATTCATTTTTACCCTGTAAAATCGTCTTATTGGAAGCCACTAGGAAAAGAAAATTATAGAAAATGTCACATGTTAAAGCCCACTTTGTTCTGGAGCTGTTTTGTCAAACATGCCCAATATTATGGCTCCAGGGGGCCTGGCTAGCCCACAGAACAGCCATGCCCCCCCATAAAGTTAGTAGCTTACTTGTTTGATCCTGTGCTTGAGCCACTATACACCCCAAAAGATCTATAGACAAGTTTCCTGAGTGAAATAGGCGGGCCGCCATTGGCCTTTCACTCTCCCAACGACTTCCGGTTGTGTCTGCAAAGCACTTCCGGTTAGCGAGTAAGCGTCTTTTACGGTCTTTGGTTAGCGTGCAGAAAAGGTAAACTATGGATGGTGTTACACGGCTCTGGGACATATTGTGCTGTTCACGGTTGCAACAACTCGTAGCGATTGCTGAATGTTTGGTCGGAAGGAGAATGTTTCGACCATCAACCATCTACAAGTGAGTAAAATGCTATAGATTTGCACTTAAATACGGAAGGCTTATCATTCGCGGAAGTCAACACAGTCTACTAATTATTACGCAGACGAATGTCAGCTTTTTCATAGAAAAAAAAAGTACGTTAATACCTTTATCCATTCCGAAGCTATTAATAGATATGTCAGGGGTGCGCACTTTGACGCTCGTCAGTCGACTTTGAAGGGTTAAAGCATGCTTTTAGTGCAGGCAGGCTAGAGGGGATTACTTTTTATTTTTATTACTCTTCGTGTTCTGTTATATATTAACACACGGATACATACAAACATCTTAATATAAGATGGGCTAACGTACCTTCCAAAACACGGCGGCTGCATGGCTACAGGAACGTCCAGGTCCGGCGATACAGGTACAGCCTGCAGTCTCCACATCTCCCGTCTTGGTAACCAAAACCCAGGCGTTATGCGCTGAATTGTTAACGAACTGGCTTGGTTGAACATCGGCCTTCAGGTAAATTAAACTGCCCATATCGTGTAAAAGTACACAGCCCACTTTGTCGGAATGGAGGTACTGAAACGCCTCTGAGCTTTTCAGGTTATTAATTGCATTCCCATCCACCGCTATGGAATCAATAAAATAAGAAAAGATCTTGGATGTTGTGACGCTGGGCCATATCGACATGTTGTCCACCCATGATTACCTTACTTGGATGCGGAATGGTCAAAACACCATTTTTAACAAGATTTTCGGTCGAATGTTGCCATTCCAAAGCCATTTTTACACCACTACTCAGCCTGTGCCGGAAGTTCTTGGCAGAAACAGGAAGTAATCCGGAAGTGCCCGGGAAACTTGTCTATAGTGAGAGAGTAAATTATTTAATTCATGAACAATGGCAATTGCCCAAATCTGGTGGGGATGCACACGCCTGTTATCGCCCCCTCTTTCTAGTTGATTCAAGACTATTTTAGAATAGCATAATAAACCTTATCTGCCTGTCTATTGCTCAGTTTCTTTCAGTACACTGGTCAGTGCTGCTGTGGCAAAAGCACTTCCACAAACAGCGCTATCCATGGACCTGACACCACAGCGAAGCTATATAGGCATCACATATTGGCAGTGTTCATGTAACAACATTTGCAGTAGCCTGCTGGTTTGACTCATTTGTGTATTGATTGAAATTATTGAATTTGAGGAAATGCATTTTTTGTGTAGTTATGTATGGAACTACAAAAATGTGGGGCCATTAAATTAAATGTTTATCAGTCCTTCACGACTGCAAATGAACCCATTTGATTAGACTTTTTTTTGTTTTTGGTTTAAGATTGCACAAGTCACATATTACAATAATTATGAATAAGATAAAGATCAAATCTGTTTAGACCATTTTTGGTAAGGTGAAAGCTAAACAACATATTGTAAGGTCACGGGGAGCCCTTGCGGCCTGCTAGGAAAGGCGCAGTGTGTGAGAGTTGACCAAAAAACACAATAGAGTTGCAAATGAAGGAAAAATAAAGGTTTATCCTGTCGTGGCCCAGCCAAACTCAGATATTTAGTTTCCAGCCAAAAAATAAATAGCCCAAAAAAACACGAACAACTTTAAAGCGTCCCGGAGGAGATAACAAGCTCTTACTCAAATCACCCAACTTCACCAGACTTTGCAGACTTTACCAGTCCTTGCCCGAGTTCCTTGAATTTTTCAATCCTTCCTGTCGGTTCTCTTCCCATACATTCCCACCCTCCTTCTCCTTGTCCCACCCTTAAGTCTGGCCTCAACCTCAACCTTAATTAGGTGGCCTAAACACTACACCTGTGTCAGTGTTCAGGCCTTCTGGGAACTGTAGTTAGTCTGCGGCCGCCATTTTGTAGGGGGGAAGCTGTCCCTTAAAGGGGAAGTAGCACTACTTGTCCCCGTGTGATGCCACAATATGCAGGGAATTACATTTTTTATTGGCCACTTTTTAAAATAGATTGAGATGTATTTATTTGTTGCCATGTGACTTTTATCTGACAATATTTTATATAAATACAATCTTTACATTTTCTAGATTTTCCCTTAGCTGTAGTTCTGCTTCTTCCAATGTGAAGGCATTGTCAGGTTACACATTTATGATTTCACACTTTACAGCAGTAATATTTCAGAATTTATCTATGCTACCAAAATAAAACTATGTGGGTTCATCACAAATGCGTTGATGAATATAGAGCATTATAGTGCCTCTGTTGCCTGAAGGCTTCAAGGTTAAGGAGGGTTCCCAGCCTTTTTCTTTATGCTGTCACTCATTAATTCACATCATCATCAATTCTCAGTTGATGCCATGACCCCTGAAAGTGAAACTAAAAAATACAATCTGAAAGTAAAAAAAAGATTTGAAACACTCTAAAATAAAATAATGAATACTGAAAAATATAAAACCTCAAATATCAAATAAATATTCCAGGATTGAATCGAAATGATATTCAAATGGTATTCAAACCCCTATTTTCAAACTTCCATTTTCATCCACTTCCTCTACTTACTTTATTTATTCATTAAATTGTTACATTTTTCAAAAATATTCAGGATCAATTTCTTGATTCAAATGGTAAAAACTATTGCCGTTGATGTGGCTCTAAATAGGTGTCAAATATAATGTACATTTTGAGGGGAAATGTCTCCTCATACTGTTAGCTGTTTATTGCAACTTTAGATACAATTATAATTTGGACTTTCAATGTGCAACCCTTAAAATATGTAACAAGTTTTCTAACCCAGTGTCAAGATTTATTTTGCAACTGGGTTAGAAAACTTTTTGCAAGAGTTCTTTTGCCAGTTGCAAGTATTTTTGACAGTTTCTGTAATGGAGTTGTTAATATGGTCTGAATTGTCAGAGTAGGGGTGTGAATAGGGGAGTGCCTTCCTGTGGGCAAAATGTGACATTCGTTATAGTTGAAGTCAGTGAAGAGTTAGATGGGGTGGAATGGTGGTGTAGTGGTTAGCACTGTCCCCTCACAGCAAGAAGGTCCTTAGCTTAATTCCACCCATTGGCCTTTCAGTTTCTGTAAGTTGTTAATATGGTTAATATTACTTTAAAGAAATTACTGACCACAGGCCATAGCTTTCTCAAAAACATTGATAACTTTTATCAGTTTGATTGATTTTTGTTTGAACGACTAACAAATGAGCTGTATTCACTCCAGTAATCAAAACATTATTTAGATTTGTTTTAATTTTTAGTTTTTGTTAAACCTGTTTTCTGTGTGTGTCATAAGCCAAAATAAATAATGTAAGTGTGCAACTAAATAGTTTTGACCTAATTATTTTTAACCATTTGTTATTTGAAAATATACCTACTAAACAAAAAATAAATTACCCTAAACGGGGGTGTTATTGACTTAGCTCGGACCTATCCATATTGTGTGACAAATGGAGGCCTCAATTCATTAGAGGCCGGTGGGGATTTATATAGCTTAAGCAGAAGTTTAGTCAGGAAGACGATGTTAACACTCCTTTTCATTCATAATTTCAGGCCCAATTCCGATGGCCCCCCAAAAACCCTTACCCTTAGACCCTCAGGAATTTTAAGGACATCACCTGGT